TCCATCGACTACCTGAAATGTTGAGTAAAAGAAAAACTGCAGTACATTCTTAGAGTTAATTTTTTTTCTATTAGACAAATATTGTTCATATATCATGAATTTTTATCTTGAAATTGCCGAGAAAAGACATTAATTCCTCAGATACCTGCGTAAATCTTCAAATTGCTGTGATTGAGATTAAAAATGCATTTTAACATCAAGAGAGATGAATGCATATTCAACCCCTACAAATCCTTGCGATGGTCTACTGAAGTACCAAAGTAGTATACTATTCAGACAAATCAGGCAGCAATTTGAAAATTTTGAGAAGATAGAAGTCTTAGTTGGCAGAGGGATTGGAATTTTTCAGTTACTATGATGCTAAATTTGGCCCTGTAAAGAGAAGATGCATCATCGTTCGCGAGTAAGCCCAAGTCATTTCAGTCGTCACGGTCATTTGATGGGGTTATGGTACGGTGGCGGAAAATACTGATTTCTAGTTCTTGTAGGTCTGCTCGTTGCTACACGCTAATTGAATAGTGTCAACCGACGCCACAATGTTTCCTTTAATATATTGCATCTTTAGACATGGAGATGAAAAGAAAATGTACCTCGTCGAGAGAACTACCTGCTCTTTTCTGCTCAGCCGCATTCTTAGTGGCACAGGACGTGTTACTGACTGAATCGTTGTTCATCATTCTGCAAAAACTGTCATTATGACAGTTTATACTCTACCCTACTCTTGACAGTTATGTATAGACGTCGCTCAAAACAATGATAATGTAATAACATGATATCATGTTCGAGCCTGTTGTGATGAGATCCGATACGGGAACTTACACGGAGTTAGACAGGCGCCTGATTGGTCCATCCGGATTACTCATTAGCCAGTCAGTTCGGTCGGTATTTTGGGGATTTATCCCTGTACAAATAAACACACTCCACTGTGGTAAATGCAGTATCGGGAGATTCTGTTGTCTGTGCCAAATCGATTATTTTGCTATACTTTCATGAGTTTTGGAATTATAGCAATGAACATCAAATATATTAATCAAGACTAGTCAAAAGTACACAATTTTGGCACCACCAAATTGCACAATATTACATTTGCCTATCTCTTCTTTAGATTGGAACTATTTGAGAAAAAATTCGCTTGCTACATACACGTATGCTTTGTTACGCAGTTTCCGTTCTTGCCTCGAGCTCTTCTTTGAGGCATGTGCCTGATCCTGCCCTATTCTTTAGCAATGATTTCCCCGTTGAACATTTTGTTGCTGATGAATTTTTTGAAAATGGTCGTTCTTAATTCACTTCCCTACCTGAGCCCGTTTATTCTTGGGATTATACAGAATAATTCACGGAGATTTCTTCTAATCTTTGGCGTGCATAGGGGGAGGGGGGAGAGAGACTAATGTCTGACAAAAGTCTTTCGGATGGAGAACAACATGAAAGATGAGTGCGTCCCCACCTAATAATGGGGTGACCCTTACGGGCGTAGACTTGATCACATTCCTTTTTTCATTTCCTCAATTAGCATCGTAAAAACGTACTAACGGAGTAGGCTAAACTCAGGTCTTTGCTGTGTGATAAAGTCTTCCTAGTTCAAAAACAGCCGCCTGCTATTCTTACCTTATTAACGAGGAGCAATCAACGCGAGTAAACTCATGGACTATCTACTACTTAGGTCTGTGTGGCGCCGTTGTTACAGGTGCCCTACAAGTACTGTGATCAATCAATTGAAGATTTGATGCCACGCCAAAGGCTTACCAGCCTTCATTTTCTTCAAGGTCAGCAAATTGATACCACGCTTGTCCGCGACGAAAACGGCACTCACTTGATACGTCGGCAGACCATCGCGAGTTATTGTAAAGACCAAATACGCATCCAGTTAGCATAAATGATCCTTGATGAAGTCGACTGCTTGTCGCATCCCTTAGGAATTGATCAAACGGAACCTATGTCTTTCTTTCCCACTTTCTAAGCGGCCTTATAACAGATCTTCTTGAGCAGCTCTCCCTGCGTCTTCTGATCTTTTGTCTTTAAGGCGACGATAGTTTCTTTTCGCTTTGTTGTTTCAACTAGGCAGGCAGTGATGGAAATGAGTGCAAGGGTGTGGCAGTATGTAGATTTTTTGTGGGGACGATCTTCGGCTTGTAAGGAAGAATATGGTTGACTACCGGCCCTATGGATCGTCTCTCCGAATGGATCATATATGCACACTTTCTTCCTTTCGACCACGGTTTCTGTTTCCGTCTCGAGCTCTCCTTTGAAGTATCCTCTTGATCCTCCACTGTCTGACCCTCCGTGGCCTTTCCAGTTGCTGTTCGAACATCTTTGACAGCGCTCTCCCCATATAACAGTTCGTTGCTGAATAATTTCTCAAAATGGTCGTTTCAATCCCACCTCTCCATCTGAGCTCCGCCTTTTTTTTTCAGGTATATACAGGACATTCACTGGATTTCTGAACTTTAGCATGAGAGTTGATTGGATTATGACAGAACAGTTTTTTTAAATAGAGGACTACACGAGAGATGAGCGCCTCTTTTACGGCTCTCTCCATTTAACCATCAATAGTCATCAATACAATGACCCTTAAAGGCGTGAACATGACCACATTTGTTCTTTCATTTTATCAGTTCAAATAGTAAAAAAGCGTCCAACTAACGGAAATGGGATAAATGAAAGATTCCGCTGTGTGGCAAAGTTTTAATAATTCAAACATTGCTGCATCGATTATTATCTTATTAATATAAAGCAGTCTAACCGAGTGATTAGGGCGACTATCTGCCCCATGGGACTCGTGTGGCATAGTGGTTAGAGGGGCCCTGCGAAGCAATGTGGTTGATTGAGCGGAGGTTTGATCCCGCATGCAAAGCTTGCGAATGCTTCCATCCCATCCGGTTCGGTGAATTGGTGCGACATGCATAAAAGAATGAGATAGTAGCCACTGACTTGATACATCGGTAGGCCACTGCGAGTTATTGGAAAGGTCAGATATGCATTCACTCACCTTGAAATTAGCTTGATGAAGTCGAATGCATGGTGCATCCCTTGGGGACCACTTTTTCGTTTTCGCAGTATATTTTTCAGGAATTTAAGTTTCTGGTTCTGTCATCGTTTAGAGCAGCTTCTTGTGGTTATTCTGATATATAACTTCTGTGTATTTCTACTGACATGGATTTTTTTTCGAGAGCAAAAACGATTGTAGATGCTACACGAGTATCGTAAATGTTCAAGTGCTGCTTTGGCCCGCAACGATACTCGTGTAGCATGAACCGTTGTTTTTTTTTTTGTTGAAGCAGGTCCATCTGAAAACAAATGTTGAAGTGTTTTGCATCAAAATAACCGAAAGAAGGCACTATAATCTATAGTAAACTAGGAATTTAAATGTATAAAAAATGATCAACAAAATCGAAAAAGTGGGGAAGCTTCTTTCGAACCCAATACTATCAGCTGTAAATAGTTGTGGAACTCAGATAGGAGCTGTGGGGAAGTTGATGAATTGAAGGCCACAGTGTAGTTATTAGATAAATTACAAAGCTCTCGTCGTTCATCAATCTCTTGAGAGGTAGCATGCATCCGGCTTCACTATGTATTTGCGTTTGAGCTAATTAAACGCGTATCCGGCCTTCACAAACTCGCCACGATCTATCGAACTGTTAGGGCAATAATGCTATTCTCCCAGACAAGTCTCGTATCAGTTTACCGTCTCCGGAGAAGTGGAAGACTGGACGAGCCTTGAGCGTGCGATTGAACCATCGATACACGTGTGTGTCGTGGATCACCAGTATCCACTACACCACACGCCTACGTATAGTCATTAATCCAGAAATATAATTCTTTCAATTTAACCTCTTTTATGAAACGGTGGTATGATGTTATAGATGTACCAAGCACTATAGAGTGATGTGTCAAACTTTTGCTTCAGGCGGTACTCGAGCCCGCTACCGGATAGACTGAGATAGGGGTTCGTGTCCCGTTGACGCGATCGTTCTAAACATCACTCTAAATCATTGGGTAAATGCTGGTATATTTCACAAAACCAAAAAGGTGGCAGATCGTAGTGATCAGTGACGGTGATAGAGATTGACAAAGTCATAGAAGACGGCAAAATATTCCTTTTCTGTATCCTCCTATCCTTCTTTATTTTGATGTTTACGCTTACTTCAGACTTTCCGAGGACACTCACGTGTAGTCAACGTTACTCTGTTCAGCCCCGACAAATTACATTTCGCGAGTGTCGGAGCCGATGGAAGGGTGAACTGTGGAATTTCTATTCTCAGAATTCTTTATTAGAATGGTTTTTTAGCAGTGCTGTGATGTTGGAACACATGGGTTGTACAAAAGTTTCCAACGTTTTGGTCTTTATGGTAGAATTTTTGCAACGAAGTTGCATTAGTATAGTATCCTTCAACTGAGCATATTCTTACCAACATTTCGGTATACAACTTCACCACATTTGCTTCAAGATTTAGCTGTTTTGGGAACATATTTGGTAGCTGCATATGCATAAATGGGCTATAGGTGGAAATGCTAGTGAAGGGACGCTCAAGATTAATGGGCCTTGGAGGGATGATATGGCTACAGGAAGGGCGCACAGCAAATTTTCGCGAAATTCAAAGCTGGAGAGAACAGTCCGAAGGATTAGTCGCGCTCAGGCCGCCCACAGGAAGCTCCATCAACCATGAGCGCCGCTTCACTAACATTTTTCTCTAGGGACCATTCGCGCATGCTTCGCAAGCAAATCTCTCCCCACGAGAGCTTCATCATAGAGCAAGTATAGGCAATTTCTACACCAAAATGTTTTCATGAATATACGCAAATGAACGATGCCAAAGCCATGCTATTTCATTCTAAAAAAACTTGATGATAAATCAAAATGGAACGGACTTCATACACAGCCCATGTATATATATATATATATATATATATATATATATACATATACATATACATATACATATATATACATATATTTGTATATATATCAAATGATGTTGAGTAATATGCAGAAGTTTGAGCACTCCGGGAGGGAGTCATACCCACGTCTCACCTTTTCCAACGTCGCGTGCTAACCGCTGCACTACCGGGGTCGCTGTTCTGGTATCACTTTTCCTTCTATATTTCTATTTCAACTGCAGTGGTGACCTATTTGTTGAACTAATTCATATATGATTTTTCAGGTTGTCTTATCCGAAGATACGGATGGAGCCAAGGTTGGCGATTTGGACCAGAATGTTGAGGTTACTCAATTATGATATTTTGCTCCGTGATTCTTGACAAGTAAAATGATATTTTGAGGGCTAGGTGGACATTTCTGACAGTGTCTCTGGCTTGGCCAGACCATCATGTGGTCAGAAAATCGTTACCGCATCCGGTGAATGGACTGTAAAGATTTGGAACGCTTCCGGGAGAACCCTAAACAAGTAGGTTTCCACGACTGCCTTTTCTGTAAGGTATCAATCCGTCTATCTTGGCGAAAGGATGGGCCTTTTTTAAGAGAATTTCTAGGACTGTGACCTTCGGTGATTCGGTGTACGATCAACCGGTCGGTGCCACATGGTGCTTTTTCAAAAGCTTGTTTCGGTCTCAATGTCAGGATTTCTCAATTTTATCGACACAACATAAAATATCTCTAAAGTGCGATCGTTCTTTGGGCAAGAAATATAACTTGTATTGTGCTCTCAGACATTCTTTGATTAGGTAGTACATGGCCGTAAGAAAGGAATAACCATCCTAGCGATTAGCAGCGACTGTAAAAAACTGATGGTCACTTCGGATTTCTAAGGAAATATGAGTTAGTATTACAAAGATCTCTCAGAAAGATATTTTTTTCTGCCATTATTTCTGTATTCACCTCAGAACTCTTTTGTTTAGCTGATTCAAATAACAAAACTGGGTCAGACAATAGTCACTTGATTGTTAGAATTTTGTTAATTTTTCTGCTGTATATTGTTTCTGAAAAAACCTTTTTAGTGTGTTGTATTAGCGAAAATAATATTGAGTTTCACACTCGGCTCGCATTATCGCTCGTGTCTTTGTTATTCATTTGTAGATTTTTGTCTGCCTCGTAGAAAATTTTTAGGCTTTTTGTATTTAACATACAAAAGATACTTTCTTCGTTTCTCAAATTCCTTACCATCGGCGAGTGTGAAGGTGCTCTCACAACCCGGAGACCTCGCCTTCTTCAACAATAACGACGTAACCGCGGTCGCTTGTTACAAAAATATTTTTCTATTTCAGGTGGGCATTGTTATTCTTTAGCTACATTGAGTTCTATTCTCCATATAGTAAGCTGAGTCCGCGTGTGGCGCAGTACTTAGAGTTGCTGTGCCACACACTTGTGGTCGCTTAATCGATGATCGATGGTTCGATCCCACACTCAAGTCTCACCAAGCCTTCCATTCGTGCGTGGTTAGTGAATTAGTATAGGACTTATCTGAGACGATCGCAGCGCTGATGAGTCGGTAAGTAACTACGTGTCATTGTAAGGTCATAGATGGTTCCGAATCACCCAAAATGATGTTCGCTAGGAACGAATACTTGACACATCTCTCAGGGTATTATCAGTGCCGACAGCTTCATCCTCTTTTGCGTCTTTTCAACTATGAAGGATAAAGCTGTCGGAGTTGATCAACCCCCGAGGGATGTGCCATGCATTCGTCTTCAATTTTTATCATTGTTTGAGGTGATTGAACGCATATCTGGCCTTTCCTATGACTTGCAGTGGCTTCCTCCTGAATCGCGTTAGTGCTGTTTATCCTCTTAGACGAGTCTGCGACCAGTACGGTACAAAATGGCCTACTCCGGAGGGGTAGATGGCTTGGCAAGCCATGAGCGCGAGATCGAACCATCGACCTTGTATGTGACGCAATGCACCTCTGACTTTTGCTACTCATTCCTTCTAGTTTTGCTACATGAAATTGTCTTCTACATTTTCGAGAAGTGTTGGTGCTCAAATTCTGTTGCTCTGTCATTCGAAGAAACCCGAATTTAACGACATATTTGCGTAAGGACCAGAAGCTTTCCACAGGTCTCTCCGTATCGTTCAATCCATTGAGCAAAGCCTCCTTTTCTTGCCTTTTCAAGAGGGACTTTTTTATTCATTGGTGGTCGTTATTTGGTTGGCAAGAAATTTCTGTATTTTTTGTTCCTTTCTATTATTTTCCATGCATTTATGATCATGTTTCTGCTATCGCTTAGAAAACCTTCTTGCGGTTACTTTGATCAACCGAAGTTATACATGTACTAAAAGATGGAGTAGTTCCGAGAGCAAAAACGATTGTTAATGCAGCAAGAGTATCGTAGCGCATCAAAACAGCATTTGAGCTAAAACGATACTCGTATAGCATTAACAGTGGTTTTTGCTCTCGGAACAATTCTGTCTTGAAATAAATATTTAGGTGTTGTCTATCAAAATAAGCTTAAGAAGCTGCTCTAAATGCTAGCAAAACCAGAAACTTAAATTCATAAAAAGAAACAAAAAAACCTGAGAAGATCTTGCCAGCTCACTGCGACCTTCACTTAATAAATAGAAGACTCTCTTGAGAAAACAAAGAAAAAGAGAGCTCCGCTTAGTCACCTGGCCTTTAAGGGCTACCAGGCTACCCGAAAACGCAACACAAAACGGACCGAACGGGACAGGGAGGTTCATGGAAAGCTTTTCGTCCTTAAGCAAATGTGTCACTAAAGTGCAGCAGAATTGAGACACCAACTAAACTCTAATACAGCCAAATTATAACGCATGTGACGCAGTGGCTAGAGGTGCTCTGCGTCGCACACAGGCTCGATAGTTCAATCTGACGATCGTGGCCCATCATTACCTTTCCTGGGTCGGTAAAGTAGTACACGACTGGTCGCGACTTGTATGGTATAAAAAGCACCACTAACTCGATTCAGCGAGAGGCCTATGCGAGTTGCTGTAAAGGCCACATATTCTTCAAGTCACCTCAAACGAAGATAAAAATTGAAGACGAATGCATGGCATATTTTTCAGGGGTTGATCGACTCGACAGCTTTATCCTTCATAGCCAATTTGACGCAAAAAAGATAAAGTTGTTGGCATGGATCACAGTATGAGAGATGTGTCATGCAATCGCCCTTATCAAACATCGCTATAAATGACTCGGAATCATCTCCGCCCTTACAACGACACGCAGTTACTTATCGATCTATCAAATCGGTGCTGCGATCCTCTCAAACAATTCCGACACCATTTCACTGATCCGTAGGGGTGGAAGGTTTAGTGAGCCTTAAGCTCGGGTTTGAGTCATCCTCCATCGATTGAGCGACCACAGTTGTGTGGCAAGTAACTCTAACCTAAGCGTTACATGTGCTCATTACTGACTTAGCTTATTGTACGAAGAATAAAACTAAATGTAGCTAAAGAATCACAATGTCTCATCTAAAATACAAAGATATTTTTACAGCAAGCTACCACGGTTAAGTCGCCATCGTTGAGAGAGGCGAGGGTAACGGGATGTGAAAGCAGCTCCACACTTGTCGATGGTGAGGAATCTGTGATCAAGATCAGGTGCAACTCAATCATGTTTCAACACTCTGAGGACAATGCCGTTTCTTTTTTCAGACTCTTAGTATTGTTTCGATAGTTCAAGTCTCGACAATCCTAATACTATAGTTGGTTTCTTCAAAGGCTTTCTCAGATCGCTATAGCAACGGAAATATTATATGGTTTCATAAATTTTGGCACTGAAGCAATAAACATCAAATATATCAGCCAGAACTTGATGAAATTGCATGACTTTGGTGTCGTTTGACTGCATATTTTCGTATTTGGTTTTTTTTGTACAAATATTTTGGTATACAACTTGTCTCTACTTGTTCTGGGATGGGGCCATCGTGAGAAGAAATTTGCCTGTTACTCGTGCAAGAACTGGCGCTTTGAGATAAATTCTAGTGAAGCGACGCCAAGATTAATGGAGCATGTGGTGATGATATGGTTGCAGAAAGGATGGCTAACAGGTGGTTTGTGAAGTTCAAAACTGGAGAGAACAGTCTGGAGGAATAGTCGCGCTCGGGCTGTCTACAAGGAGGTTCATCAATCTTGCGCGCAGTTTCTCTAGCATTTTTCTCAATGCTCCATTCGTGCATGAGCAACAAGCGAATTTGTTCCCACAGAATGTCCGTCTGAAAGCAGGTAGAGGCAAGTTGTATATCATGATGTTATCAAAATGCGCAATCGAACGATGCAAAAATCATGCAGTTTTATCCACTTGTGATTGATGAACGATAAATTTAGTGCTTATTGTATCAGTGCCAAAACTTACGGAACCACTTGATGTTTTCGCTGTTCCAGCGATCTGAGAAAGCCGTCTCTTTTTTATTTAGTGATGACTGTCACTGCGTTGGCAAGAAGTCTTTCGAACTTTTTCGTTTTTGTTGATCATTTTTCATGCATTTAAGTTTTTGTTTATACTTCGTTCAGAGCGGCTTACTGTGGTTAATTTGATATACAACACTTATACATTTGTTTTAGTATGAAAATGCCCCAAGGGCCAAAACAATTGTTGATGCTACACGAGTATCGTTTGGTTTCAAGTGGTGCTTTGGCACACAACGATACTCGTGCCACATCAACAATCGTTTTTCCCTCAGGGCAGTTCCATCCTAAAACAGATGTATAAGTGTTATCTATCAAAATAACCGTAGTAAGCTGCTTTAACTGATAGCAAAAACAAAAACTTAGTATTATCACAACTAATCAACGAAAACAAGGAAATCCGGAAATGTTTTTGCCAACCGCATAGTTTTCATTCGATAGCTTGAAAGGTGATGATCCTGAAACTAATTTTGGTTGATAAAAAGCGTTTTCACTCAGCGAAAAAAAAACTGCGGTTTGCACTCAGACGTATTCGCACCAGAAGCATACGAACTTACTTGAATACTTGAACGTCCCGTTTCCACTCATGGTTCGAGCCCCAGCCTAGGAAGATTGTGCTGGTTTAGCTGTCTTGCTCCTTATAGTATCCAGCTGTCTTGCTCCTTATAGTATCGAAGTAAGCCTAGCCGAGGTTAACTCAGGTCGTCACCACATTAGAGCAATCGCCTGCCCTTGTGTATCGGAGAGCGATTA